ATGTTATTCTTGGTGTTATTTTAAGAAGTAAAAATTATAAACCACTGATTCTTCCAGTAATGGGGAACAGGTTAAACCAACTACAGTGGAACAGCAAACAGACGTGACAAAGAACATGGAAAAACAGAAAGCATTTTCTGTAGCCAGTTTGAAAGGCAGGTTCTGTGACAGTATGTAGGGTAACCTACTTTGTTTTTTAAATAAACACAGGCACAATGAAGAATCTGGAGACACAGAGATATGTTCACAGCAGTTGGGGGAAATTCTCAGTGTAAAAATCCTGGAAGAGCAAGTACAGGGCAGTGTGCATATTACACTGTCACTAAGGTAAAATGGGCGGCATACATAAATGAGTTAACAAACAGGTACATGCCCATTTGCTTGTACACGTACAAGACATCCTCAGAGGTGGACCCAAGATCAAAAGGACCAGATGCCTGTGGGGAGGAACCATGACTTTTCACTTTTATACTCTGAAGTTTGAACCACATGAACTTACCACTGCTCCAAAAAATAAAAACGGGAGATAAAAAAAAATGTTGAACAACAGTAGCATCATTTCAATTAGTGTGTGGTCTCTCAAGGAATCATTTTAAATGAATCCTAACTGATTTAGGGGGATGTTAGTTTTTAAATGAAGCATTTCAGTAATGGTTAACTTTGATGTATGCAATGAACCACACGTTAGTATTATAATCAGAAAAGAAGTTTCAAAATATAGAGTAATTTTTAAAAACTTAATTGTATCCTTTGACTTTTTTTATTAGAAAATCTCTTTCTGGAAATGTATTCAGTTCACATTTTAAGCCACTTTTTGATGCTTTTAAAAACAGTAAAATTTGTCAACAATAAATTTTCAGGTAAATACAGCTCATAATTTGTCACGTGAACATGCTATTTGTTTGTTTACTAATGCACAGTGTTTTCAGTGTAAGCGTACACTACACACACACTCTGTGAACACAATGACCTCCTGCCCTGCACAGAGCAGTCATTTACACAGTACTGGATTTAAAGCTGTTAAGGTTCAGAATCCAGGTTGACACTTAACAACCTTCCATCTTTCCAGACTTTTGGAGCTCAGACTGCCCACGTGCCAGGTCTTAACGGACTTCCTCTGGGCGAGAGGTCACAGATGTCTCAGGCCCAGCCTGGGGAACCCAGTGAGACAGGACAGGCGAGGTGACATCTGACAAAGACAGGGGCATACTCCCCGCTTTGGGCGGCCGGCCCACCCCAAGCCCTCACTCACCACTGCACGGGCTGCCAGTTGGGCAGGAAGGGCCGGAAGCCCGTGATACACTCGAAGGCCAAGGTGCCGAAGCTCCAGTAGTCCACTGTCACCGTGTACTTCTGCTGCTCTAGCAGCTCAGGGGCCTGTGGTGACAATGCGGGGACATACCTGAGCTGCTCCCCATCTGAGGGTCTACCACGGAGCGGGGCACCCAGCCTCTTATCGTGCCCCATGCTCCCTGGGCCCCGCTCCAGGTGAGGAGGTGACCACGCGTTCAG